CATAGTATATGTATATCACCCACAGTACTTGTCCTTCCACTATGCTCTCTCCTCCTATCAGCATTCTTGATAGAACATGAATTACTAGGCAACTTGTACTGGTTTTCTTTTACATTCCAGCCCTGCTGCTCATGGACTGCAATAGGCTCTTACCAGGTCGAATTCAGGTACTTAACAGTGCTTGTATTTAAAACAATACATTGAATAATGTAGTAATTAATACAGAGCTGTTTTATATTGTGTTTTTTACATCTGCCTAGAGCAACCATTCTCATCCAGGGCTTGGTGGATGCCTAGGGTTCCTGCAGAGTTTGCTCCTTGAGCTGCGGTTGCGTGTTATCCCAATTGATGGTGCCTGCATAGCTCCAGAGCCAATGAAATGCTTGCATATTGTGTCTTTTATACCTGGCTAGAGCAGCTATTCTCTACCAGGGTCTGTTGGATCACTAGGATTCCTTCAGATGTTCCTCCTTGAGCCGTGGTTGCTTGTCCTCCCGTTTGATGGTGCCTGCAAAGCCAACAGCACGGCACAGCTGTCCGTAAGCATTTGGACCACCACTGTAAGGGTTGCATTCTTCATATTAATCGACAATGTAATCCACATTTTGCCTGTTGACCCCCAATTAATTGATTTTAGTAAGGGTTTCCCAAGACCTAGAACCTATTTTTTGAAGGTTGAGGAAGGTTTGTCCTAGAGTTTAATTTTAATGCTGTACTTCAACCAAACAGGGTGAGAGCAGTACAATTATAATACACATATGCAGGGGTGGACTGACAACTCATGGGGCCTCTGGGCAATAGGGGATCATGGGGCCCCTGTGTCCTTGCCCACACTCAAAACACACCCAAAAAAGCCTATAAAAGGTACCAGGGGCATTTCATGGGGCCCCCTACTGACCCCGGGCCCTCAGGCAGTGCCCGAGTGCTCGAATGGTCTTTCCGCCCCTGCACATACGAGAGTTGCTTTATCTGACAAAGAATTTGTCCAGCCACTTTTGCGACTCAAACATTTCTGCCAGACCGCACAGCCAAGAGGGTGATACCACTTTCTTTGTCTTTGAGTTTAGGAATAAGGAATAAATGTCCCCTACCTGCCCACAGTCTGTTTGTATATCAGTCCCAAGAGTTGATTACAACCCATTGCTACTGATGACATCACTGACTCTCACCCTAGTGTCTGAGATGAGGACAAGGAGGTGGACTTAGCATCGCCTTCTATTATTCGATGCTCCTTGCCAGTGTGGTTTTCTCTCCCAGTTGTGTCAACAATCTGCAAGTATCAACCACTCCAACTCCACCAATATGAGTACATGCAAAGACCAGGCATCTAAGGTCCTGCTCTTACACAATAGGTCACTGCCACATGCCAGTGGAAACCCTGGTTCCTTGCTCTCGATATTCCATTGTTGTCTTACCCCAGTTTTTGTCTTTCTCCTCTGGCATTAGAGTCCTCAGAATCTATTTAGACTGCCTGTTGGCTTTTAATATTCTAGCACTATCCCCTTACAAGTTGCTGAAATTTGGGCCCCCCTATAGTTCTGCACAGCCAGGCAACACGCATTTTCCACAGACTTGCATTCCAGAGATAGTAAACAGTCCTTGAGGTTTTTAGGTTTTATTAGGGGTATTGAACTTGAAGTGGTAAGGGGTGTATGGGATGCCCAACTGCAAACTGAGGACAACGTCCTGGCAAATATCTACAAGTCTTTTTAAAGCAGAAAGGTCTTTCTTGGAGAGCTCTCCAGCCTCTCCTAGTGTACCATCCCAGACCCCAGATGGATCCGCTTCTCATCCAGCTATCTGGAGGAAATCCCTGGGCAAGGGGATTCAGTGCCTGTCACTTTAAGTTGAAACAGTGCCGGATAAGGAGCTAGTCAGGTTTCCCACCAGAATGCCCCTCTTCCCTTAACTGGCCCAGGGGGTCTAGGATTACTCACTCTTCCTCTCCTGTGTGCTTGTGGGGTTGGTGGCTGCCTTCAGGCCAATCCTGGGCCGGCTCCTTCCCTGCTGCACAGGTGGTCTCCTCTCAGGGGACTCTTGAGGTCGAGTGATCCTTCTTTCCAGCACCTCTACCTGAAGGTAGGTCTCTTTCCACTTCCTCCTCTCCCAGGTTCCTTCATCTGAACCTGCTTCACATCTTCCCCCCGAACTCTCCCTGCCTCTGAGCAGGCCCATCACTCCTAAGGGCTGTCCTGCCCATGCCAAGCCACCTGCCTGGGGATAATTAACGTAAAAAAAACCTACAAAAATTGCTCTTTATTTATTTTTAAACTAACTCTGCTCAAAAAAAGAAGTGTTACTGCACATAAAAAGTGTGCATTTTATTCTTTAATTTGTCTTGTTTAAAATGACACTAAAATTATGATTCAGGTAAAAAGCACCGAAAAGTTATTTACAAATGATATTCATTAATTTTTTTTTTATTTCACGTTGAAAAAAAGCTCAAAATTGAAAAAAAAAACATTTGAAACATGAAAATATATGTTAAAGGAGTAAAATTATTAAGGAACAAAGCAAACAAAAAAACAAAAAAAAAGTTTTAATTATTTATAGTTTATAAAATGGAAACGAACAAAAAAAATCAGCAGGAAATAAATTAAATGGAGAAGGAGAGTAAATAAGGTGTTAATTAGGGCTGATTAGAGTAAACTAAGGGATAATAAGGGGTTAAACAGAGGAATATTTAATTAAAGGAAAAAAAACAACATTTTTTACGTGACAGGTTGCTATTAACTGACTTTGTCTGCAGATTAAAGGTCATCCCTTTGATCTGTAGATGAATGAACAGAAAGATACAAAATGAAAGGATGTTTCCTTTTATCTTTCTGTTTTAGTAGCTGTTGATAAACATTGTCATGCTGCTTTTTTTTTTGGCAGCTCTAATTCAGGGGCTGATATCGATATTTATGGAAACGCTTATTATTGGCACCGATACCAATACCGGTATCAGTGCAAGCCTAATGCTAACACTCAGGAATAGCAAGGATCAGGGTAGTATCATTCAGCCTGGGTTCACATATATGCGGTGCGGTATACCGCATCTGATTCGCACAGGAACCGCACCACATTCCTGTGCAAATCACATGCGATTCGTGTGCGGTGCAATTGGAGCCATACATTTTGAATTGTCTAGAAAGCCGCACCAAAAAGTTGCAGGACCCTTTTTTGGGTCCGCACTAGAATCAGATCACATGGGTATTCACACCTATGCGATCCAATTCTGCACATTGCACCCCGTTTTGCTGACTGCCCTCGGGGCGTTGTTAACTTAACATACACACCCGCAGCGGTTTGCATGAACGGGGTGTGAATCTGATGCGGTGCGGAATACGTACAGAAAACGCCATGAATTCCACACCACATCAGTGTGAACCAGGGCTCAAGGAATTGTCTAGAAAGCTGTACAGCATCCCGGGTGGCTCAGCAAGAAGAGATATTGCCAGTCACAGCTGAGTTTTCAGGTTCAGATGTGGGTCCTGATATCCTGGATCCAAAAACATGTACAAGTAATAACATGCAGCCCTACACCTTCCGGCAATAAAATAAAAGCTTTACGAAGTTTGTGATGAAGTGTTTGCAGGTGTTGTGAAAGCTCCATTTTACTTCTGGCGCACATTTATCTTTCAAAGACGATGCTCGCTGGTAATGTTTAATGCTTTTTTTATTGCCTAGAGGGGTCTATGGCTGAAGATCTAAAACATCTCTGCAACATCACAAAAGATAATGGAAAGCGTGAGAAATGTCTGGAGCACATGTGGTTTTATGCAACTTTTACCTAGAAATATCTACATGTGCACGCTATAAAAGTCCTGCCACATGGCTAAATCCATCACTGAAACATATATAGCAACTGTTTCACCTGTTATAATGACAACTTAATGCATCTTCTAGGTTGTTGTTCTGAGATGGTCCGCTATATGGCTGAATCAGGGGTGGACTGACAACTCATGGGGCTCCCAGGCAATAGGGGATCATGGGGCCCCTGTGTCCTTGCCCAAACTCAAAAAAGCCTATGAAAAAGGTACCAGGGGCATCTCATGGAGCCCCCTACTGACCCCAGGCCCTCGGGCAGTGCCCGAGTTTACAAATGGTCAGTCCGCCCCCGGGCTGAATAACAAAAAAAACTGTATAAATTATTTGCAGAGTATCATCACATGGTGACACTGATCTGGGGCTCTCTTGGTCCTCCTAATTATCTCCTCCCCCCATCTATCGTCTTACTGTCTGGGTACTTTCATTGCAGGCCTGCTTTTATTTGGTGTGTGGTAACAATTCAGGCTTTCAACTGGGTTGAAAAAAAATGATTTCATGACATTTGGAGTTGCCCTTGAACCCATAACAGGAGAAAAAAAACTTCCACTTTGTAAATAGTTTTACAATACCTATATCTTGCTGTGCAACCTTTTGAAGTATTGATACGTATCTTACCATAAATTGCTGTCCATTTTAAAGGTCCCTCTACTTCTTTTCAATGTGCATCACAGGAACTCAACTCAGGGTGCCAGACTGGAGCCATCTCTGTAATCCAGCCTTTCTCAACCAGGGTGCCCAGGAACCCTGGGGTGCCTTGAGGTTTCTTCAGGGGTGCCTTGAGGTTTCTTCAGGGTTGCCTTGGCAAAATGTCTACAAATTGTCCAAAACCTGTATACAAGCCAGCGGGTGGAACAAGCCTGCCTTTTAGTTACAGAAAGTCACAGGTTTTCATTGTGCACCATTACAACCTTCTAGCTGCCGGCTTCCTGACAAGCAATGACATCAGTTGATAAGGAGGATGTCAGCTGCTTTCACAGCATCCTAGTTTGATCATCCCCTGCCCCTCTCCATCAGTGCTGAGGTTACATTTAGCTCAGTTATGGAGAAAAACTAAAGAAGAGAAACATTGGAATACTAGTCAGTACGAGTGTGCAAAAGTGTATTTGCTTTGGAGGAATAAATCACCTCTAATGTTGGGTGTCCTACATGTGTGGATGCTGCTGTGTTGTATAAAACTTTTCACATTTAGAATGGAGTGCCTTTTTAAAATTATGGACAGTCTTGAGGCATCCCATTTTAGAATGGGGTGCCTCAAGACTGTCCATAATTTTAAAGGGTGCCTTGGGGCTGTCCATAATTTTAAACGGTGCCTCGGGATTGTCCATCATTTTTAAGGGTGCCTTGACTGAACAAAGGTTGAGAAACACTGCTGTAAGCCATGGATCAGGGGACCACATGTGAACTTATAGATCAGCCTGTCATCTTGGTCCTTCCTGAAGGCTAGGTCATGGGCAAGGACTCAAAACATTTTGGCACAGGCAGCTTTGGGAAACATAAGCTGCTTCCACAATTCCCATAATAGCCAGCATTTCCAAAGTGTATCCAATCATATATGTATTGGTCTAATTTTGTATGAGGATGTCAGCTGCCTTCACAGCATCCTAGTTTGACCCTCCCCTGCCCCTCTCCATCAGTGCTGGGGTCACATTTAGCTCAGTTATGGAGAAAAACTGAAGAAGAGAAACATTGGAATACTAGTCAGTACGAGTGTGCAAAAGTGTATTTGCTTTGGAGGAATAAATCACCTCTAATGTTGGGTGTCCTCCATGTGTGGATGTTGCTGTGTTGTATAAAACTTTTCACATTTAGAATGGAGTGCCCTTTTAAAATTATGGACAGTCTTGAGGCACCCCATTTTAGAATGGGGTGCCTCAAGACTGTCCATAATTTTAAAGGGTGCCTCGGGATTGTCCATAATTTTAAAGGGTGCCTCGGGACTGTCCATAATTTTAAAGGGTGCCTCGGAATTGTCCATAATTTTAAAGGGTGCCTCGGGATTGTCCATAATTTTAAAGGGTGCCTCAGGATTGTTCATAATTTTAAAGGGTGCCTCGGGATTGTCCATAATTTTAAAGGGTGCCTCGGGACTGTCCATAATTTTAAAGGGTGCCTCGGAATTGTCCATAATTTTAAAGGGTGCCTCGGGATTGTCCATCATTTTTAAGGGTGCCTTGACTGAACAAAGGTTGAGAAACACTGCTGTAAGCCATGGATCAGGGGACCACATGTGAACTTATAGATCAGCCTGTCATCTTGGTCCTTCCTGAAGGCTAGGTCATGGGCAAGGAATCAAAACATTTTGGCACAGGCAGCTTTGGGAAACATAAGCTGCTTCCACAATTCCCATAATAGCCAGCATTTCCAAAGTGTATCCAATCATATATTTATTGGTCTAATTTTGTATGAGGATGTCAGCTGCCTTCACAGCATCCTAGTTTGATCATTCCCTGCCCCTCTATATCAGTGCTGGGGTCACATTTAGCTCAGTTATGGAGAAAAACTGAAGAAGAGAGAAACATTGGAATACTAGTCAGTACGAGTGTGCATTTGCTTTGGAGGAATAAATCACCTCTAATGTTGGGTGTCCTACATGTGTGGATGTTGCTGTGTTATATAAAACTTTTCACATTTAGAATGGAGTGCCCTTTTAAAATTATGGACAGTCTTGAGGCACCCCATTCTAAAATGGGGTGCCTCAAGACTGTCCATAATTTTAAAGGGTGCCTCGGGACTGTCCATAATTTTAAAGGGTGCCTCGGGATTGTCCATAATTTTAAAGGGTGCCTCGGGATTGTCCATAATTTTAAAGGGTGCCTCGGGACCGTCCATAATTTTAAAGGGTACCTCGGGATTGTCCATAATTTTAAAGGGTACCTCGGGATTGTCCATCATTTTTAAGGGTGCCTTGACTGAACAAAGGTTGAGAAACACTGCTGTAAGCCATGGATCAGGGGACCACGTGTGAACTTATAGATCAGATCAGCCTGTCATCTTGGTCCTTCCTGAAGGTTAGGTCATGGGCAAGGACTCAAAACATTTTGGCACAGGCAGCTTTAGGAAACATAAGCTGCTTTCACAATTCCCATAATAGCCAGCGTTTCGAAAGTGTATCCAATCATATATTTATTGGTCTAATTTTGTGGCAAATCAACAATCACACCAATGTTTCAGGATAAAAATTTCTTAACAACCGGTAACCTTTTGTCTAACACAGTTATGTGTATATCCCTAGACGCCAAGATATCACTTTCCCCCCAGAAAGTCCAAAACCAAAGCACAAGTCTCTCTCAGCATCTGTACAGTGAAATGCCCCTACTATCATGTGAAAAATTCTCCTTCTTCTTATTCAGTGTTCAACCATGAGTGATTCTTATTCCATCTTCTACTTGATATCCAGACTACGTCAGCTAAAAAGCATAGAGTAGAAACTGCACATCCCGATCCACAATATTCCCAGTCAACAATGTAGAGTACATCAGCATGTATTCATCACACTGTTCAACAGGTAAAAAGTTTTGGGCATAAAATTAGCTAATCTTACATAATTTTGGGGTGCTGAAAACGAAAATGACCCTAAAAAATGTTGATTGGCTCTAGTTTCCATGATATATTCACCCATCTAATGACGTAAGCCATTTAAAATTATGATGCAACTTCAGCTGCATATTGCGCAATTGATATTGGTGACCAATAGAAAATTGCATGTATACTGAGATGATGCAATATTAGCCTTTAATTGCATCACTTCACTGCATAAAAGCTGCAGTATCTGTAGCTGATTGTAGTTCGACAGCGTCTTTACATTTCGTTTTATGCTTATATAGGCTACTCAGTAATGCCTCGAACTTGTGTGAATAAAGCAGATAATTTCTGCTATATCTGCGGTGAAATAACTTTTATCTCACAAAAAGGAGGATAACAGGAATGATTAAGAAAGCCTACAACTTGTATTTTGGCTGCAAGATAGGAGACCAGGACAAGAGCTGGGCACCACATATATGCTGCAATTCTTGTGGGACGGCACTGGAGCAATGGTTGAATGGAAAAAAGGCATCTATGCCTTTCGCTGTGCCAATGATTTGGAGAGAGCCAACAGATCATGTTAGTAATTGTTACTTTTGTATGGTGCCTCCAACAAAAGGGCTAAATAAGAAGAAAAAGTTATCTGTGCACTATCCAAATATTCCATCGGCAATACGTCCAGTTCCTCATGGAGAGGGGCTACCAATTCCTAAAGCACCAGAATCCTTCGTGGTTGAGTCAAGTGAGGAAGAACCTGAAGCGTGTAGTCACGTGCATTTGTAAGAGATAGCCCTTTCCTCGAATACAAGAGAAAAGCCAAGAGAAGCAAAACCGACACAAACTGAAGACAAAACTAGTGAGAATCCTAAGTATTAAAATGATTCAACTTAGCTTATGGCTATAATTTTTTCTTGGTAATCCTATGCAATATATTATGCCATTTAGGCTTTGTTATGTAGTCAATATCACTTGCTTTATATTTGTGGAAAGACATCTATCTATATAATTATTGTGCATTATGTAGTCATTACGCCTATAGTAGAAAACTTTCCGTTTACAGAAAAACTAGAGCCAATTGACAAATTTTATTGTTATATTTGAACTCAGAGTTTCCAAAACTGGCAAAAAATAAAAATTTGTTGAACAGTGTCATCAATACAGAGTGTTTGTTGGCTCAAAACATTATCCCAGATGGCCGCTACGCAACTTCCGGTGTACGGCTGACGTCACTTCCTCTAGAAGTAGACCAGTGCCAGATTTATAAGGGGTAAAAAAGGGGCAATTGCCCCAGCCCCAGACTTCCTTTATGAAAAAAATGTAGTAATTATAAAATTAGTTTTATTATTTAAAAAAAAAAAGGTGGGGAGTGTTAGGATATGGAATAGTCAAGTTGACTTCGCAGGCAAAAAAAAATCTAATGAAGTCTTTGGAGGGAAAGGAAACATCATTAACTGTGAAGTCTCTCTTTCAGACACTCGTTGGTCAGCATGAGCTGATGATACTGAAGCCCTTGTAGATAGATACAACTCTATTCGAAATGCCCCAGAGATATTGAAAAGTAACTCGAAGCGAACAGTTGAAGCAAGACATGAAGCTTGGGCATTTGGAGACAAAATGGACTGTCTCTTGAAACTGCTCTGATGGCTAAGATCTGGACCATAATTCTTGTATGGTTAAACAGTACAAATAAAGCTTTCCAAGGCATTAACATTGAGTTGAAAAAAGGTGATGGATCTAATAGATTCTCTGGTCAAGTTTCTGGAATCGCTTTGAGATATTTATGAAGAACTGGAACTGGATGCCAGGAATGTCTGTGGCATTTCAGACTACAGATCAGGGGCAGACTGACAACTCATGGGGCCCCCAGGCAATGGGGGATCATGGGGCCCCTGTGTCCTTGCCCAAACTCAAAAAAGCCTATGAAAAAGGTACCAGGGCATCTCATGGGGCCCCCTACTGACACCCGGGCCCTCGGGCAGTGCCCGAGTTTCCAAATGGTTAGCCCGCCCCTGCTACAGATCCTAACATCAATCTCAGAGAAAACAGTTTTTTCTCCCTGAGAAAAAATTCAGATGTGAAAGGCAAAGTCCATAGACAGAGTTTAACTAGTTTGGTGTGAAGGAAATTGAGTTGCCTACACAGACTCTTGATCTCAAACCCTAATGAACACCTATGGAATTAATAGGGAATGGCAATTGCTAAGATTTTTTCCATTTAACATTAGTATTTGACCTCACAAATGCTCTTTTGGATGAATGGGCACAAATGCCTACAAACAAGCCATCTTGTATAGATAAAAACCCCTCACTAGATGAAGGCTTGTTATAGCTGCAAAGGAGGACGGGGGAGGGGGCATTGTGGCTTTGGAATGGGTTGTCAAACAAGTGTATATATACACTTACTGGCCACTTTATTAGGTGCACCTTGCTAGTGCCAAGAAAATCTCCCTCACACCCGTTACACCACCACCACCAGCGTGAACCATTGATACAAGGCAGGATGGATCCACCACGCCATGACACCAACATCCTGAATCATTGATACAAGGCAGGATGGATCCCCCACACCATGACACACCACCACACCAGCCTGAACGTTGATACAAGGCAGGATGGATCCACCACACCATGACACCACCACCACCAGCCTGAACCATTGATACAAGGCAGGATGGATCCTCCACACCATGACACCACCACCACCAGCCTGAACCGTTGATACAAGGCAGGATGGATCCTCCACACCATGACACCACCACCACCAGCCCTGAACTATTGATACAAGGCAGGATGGATGGATCCCCCACATGCCATGACACCACCCCACCACCAGCCTGAACCATTGATACAAGGCAGGATGGATCCGTGCTTTCATGTTATATTTACACCAAATTCTGACCCTAAACCATCTGAATGTCACAGCCACCAGTAGCCCATTCTCCTCTGACCTCTGACATCAACAAGGCATTTCCATCCACACATCTCGCTCACTGGATATTTTCTCTCTTTTTTTTTTTACCATTCATTGTAAACCCTAGAGATGGTTGTGTGTGAAAATCCCAATGGATCAGCAGTTTTTGAAATACTCAGATCAGCCTGTCTGGCACCAACAATAATGCCACATTCAAAGTTCACTTAAATCCCCTTTCTTCCCAAATTCTAATTTGAACTTAAGCAAGTCGTCTTCACCATGTCTACATGCCTAAATGCACTGAGTTGCCGCCATGTGATTGGCTGATTAGCAATTTGTGTTACCAGGCAATTGAACAGGTGTAAACCATCTAATAAAGTGGCTGGTGAGAGTAGGTGTGATCTCAGGCGCATGCTTTTGGCCATATAATATACCTAATTAGATCCATTTTGGGTGTACTGGCTAATAGATTATTAGAATTTTAATGCAATATGGATATGTACTAAAATTTGCTTCCACTTTTTTTTTTTATTACCAAAAAAAAGCAATCTACCATAGCCTGTATTGAGTGACAGACTGAAAACCCCTCATGGTTTCTCCCATACCATCACTCCGCCATTTTTCATTTGAAGCATCCCAAAGTTTGTTTTGTCAGCTGGAAAAATGAAACAACAGTGTATAAACATACACAAATCCATATAGAAAGGTTGCAATTGGCTATTGTTTCTATATTATAACTTAACTGAAATAACGAGTGTGAAAATCCTCTCACAGCTGTCTTTATTATGCCACCTACCAACCCATCACAAAAAAACACCTCAAAAAAACCAATGGTCAAAACGAGCAGAGATATTTTGCTAATTTATTAATCTGAAACATCAGTTGGACGTTTGATTAAAAATGAGTATCCAAGAAACCTGAAAGTCTCTGGAAAAACTGTTTATTATTCTGTCAAACCAATTTGTGGACTGTACCAGTCTGCTGTCATCGGTTATTGAAAGCAGATTGGGTGGGAATGTGTTTGGAAGGACCTGAAGTGAACTGGATGCGCATCTGACAACGTTCAGATTTCTGAAAAGAAACATCTTTTTTGGGAACCAAATGATGCTTATTCTTTATTGTTCTGTCTGCTTATAATACCACTAATTACAGTGTGAAAACAAAGGTCTTTATTTAACAGCACAAAGAGCAACATGGAAAATTCTAGATTAGAGTGTATTTCCAGTTGGTTGACAATTATAACTTGAAAGTGATTGTTGACAGCATTTTCACTCTTGGGCTCGCTTGCGGTTCCACATTGTCAGTGTAGAGCTCACTCACATAGGAGCCCACTGTTTTAGGTTCCTGGGTTCTTTTCCCGCGGTTGTACCTGCTGCCAGGCACACAGTCACAGTTGCTCCTTT